AAAAAAAAAAAAAATCTGGTCCAAAACGGGATTTAATCTGTATCCAAGCCAATCGGCCCCTGAGAAATCCCGTCATACTTCGAAATTACAATCCTGAGTTGGGGGTACTTAAACACAAAAACCTTCAGAGGAATTTTCTTACCACCACGGCACCACTGAGTGGGGGTTGTTGTAATTCCGAAAGAAAAGCAATCATTATTTTGATTTCATAGTTGGGCCACGCCTAAGAGGAACTTCTATAACCAAAGCTACTAAATTCAATTTTTCCTCATGGGTTGTGATTTATACATATACTCTAAATTCTGTCAGCACTTCTCGCAGTTGGACCCATCTTTCCAGTTCCCGAATCCTGAAATGGAAGGCGCAACCAAGTGGGACCCCCACGGCTGGAAAGCGTCGAACGAGTCAAACGCTCAAATATTCGCCCGCCCCAAAACCCCCCAACGCAACAGGTCCGGCCCCACCACCACTGCCATTCCTGCCCTGGAGGCAGAGCTCGACCGTGCCCGGGCCCGCATCGACGAGCTGGAGTCTGAGCGCCGGTCCTCCAAGAAGAAGCTGGAGCAGTTCCTGCGCAAGCTGGGGGAGGAGCGGGCTGCATGGCGCAGCCGGGAGCACGAGAAGGTGAGGGCAATCATGGACGACATGAAGTCTGAGCTAGCCCGTGAGCGCAAGAACCGGCAGCGGCTCGAGTCAGTCAACTCGAAGCTGGTCAACGAGCTGGCGGATGCCAGGCTGTCGGCCAAGCACCTCATGCAGGAGTACGAAAAGGAGCGAAAAGACCGCACACTGATCGAGGAGGTCTGCGACGAGCTGGCAAAAGAGATTAGTGAGGACAAGGCTGAGGTGGAGGCCCTCAAACGGGAGTGCACGAGGCTCCGGGAGGAAGTCGAGGAGGAGAGGCGAATGCTGCAGATGGCCGAGGTATGGCGAGAAGAGCGTGTGCAGATGAAGCTGGTGGATGCCAAGGTGATGCTCGAAGAGAAATACGCAGAGATGAATGCTCTGGTCGCGAGCCTTGAATCATTCTTGAGTTCGAGCCCACAGGAGATTGAGAAAGCTGAGTTTCTCGTCCAGGTAGCGAAATCGTTGAGCATGCAGGACGTGCGGGATTTGACGTACGAGCCCCCAAATACAGATGACATCTTCTCTGTGTTGGAAGATGGAAATTTCAATGGGCTGGGCAGCAGGGAAGACGGAACATGTGGTGGAGAGTACAGCCCAATCAGCCGGGCTTCGAAGATCCACACTGTCAGCCCGGAAGTGAAGGTTCTTGCCAATGAGAGTGGGGGATTATTGGAGGAGGATGCTAGCGAGTGGGAGACTGTGAGCCATCCGGAGGATCAGGGGTCGAGCTATTCACCTGAGGGCAGTGACCCTTCGGTTAATAGCAGGAATTTCCGTGCCAGCAGTAGCTCGAGAAATGGGGCCGAATGGGAAAAGGATGGGGCGGGAAGAATATTGGAGATAAGGGAGGTTGACTCGGCCCAAATGAGGCAGATCAAGAGGGCCTCGTCTATATCTAAGCTGTGGAGGTCCTGTCCAAATAATGGAGATGGCTGTGATGGAAAGAACGGGAAGCCGTCAAACGGGAGGATTTCCAACGGGACTGTATTTTCTCCAAATAACGGGCTTGGGCTTAGCCCGCAGGACTTTTCGGGTCAGTGGAGCTCGCCCGATTCGGGTAACCCGCACATAAATCATCGCACGATGAAAGGGTGCATTGAATGGCCGAGAGGTGCCCACAAGAGTAGTCTCAAGACTCGGTTATTGGAGGCGAGATTGGAGAGTCAGAAAGTCCAGCTGCGCCAGGTTTTGAAACAGAAGATTTAGTGTTTGAAAGTCTTGGAATAATTTTCGTTTACGAAATGTTAGGGGCGATATTGGTGTCGCGCGAGCTTGTATAGTATGTTATTGAGATGGAATTTGGGGTCTATCTTGAGCTAGGATGAGCTCGGCAAACGACACTATATTTATGGCACTGTAATGTGATAATTTTATCCGAGTGGTGGTTGTCTTTGATACGGATGGAGACATTGAAATGCCGTTGTATCTGTTGTATCTGTAATTTGGCTTCTGACAGTGATTTTAGTGGATTTGGTTCTCTATGAAGTTGTTTTTGTACATTGATGTGTTCGTTAGTATCGGAGCACAACTTTATTTCCTTTTTTCTTTTAGCAACCATAATTTTTTCCCAGTATAAAAACAGTCATAGAAAAGTTGATGTGGTCGAACAACAAATCGAAGATTGTGATATAGTTTGCACGAGATATGCAATTTACAACAAACTGAAGATTGTGATATGATTTGTAAAAGTAAAAAAGTCGTGATTAAATTGCCATTTCAAAAAAGGTCATGATATTAAGGTCAATTTTGCCTTTATTTTTTTAGTTTTTCTGAAAGTGTTGTGAAACGTAATTTTTGGATTTGCATTTTGGTGTCGGTTGGAGCAAAGATTTCGTTGTGTTTGTCGTTGGTTGTGTTTGTGTTTGTGTTTGTCGTTCGTTGTGTATTGTAACTATATACATTGTAGCTATATAACATTTTGGGGAGTGAAAAATGGCTATAAAAACTTGGCTTTGTTTAAATATTATAAACTTCAAAATAATAACATATTCTATAAAACAGAAAATCTCATATAACATAAAAAAAACCCAACCAGAATGTTAAAATCATAAAAGAAATAGAAATCACTAAATAAAACAGTGGCTTTATTAATGCTTAATAAAGAAACCGAGAGACTGGACCATAACAATGGTCTTCTCTACGTACATTCTACAAACCTATTCTTTAGCTCTTTCTTTTAACTAAATATTTCCTTCTTTGGAATACAACAATACTGTGCCTTTGGATGTGTAACAAACCACGGTCAGTTAAAAGTTGACTTTGGATGTGTAAGTTTTTCCGGTTGCGTAGTTGGCCGGTATAACATTTTCGGCGATTATTGTTGACGATCCTTGTATGAGTTTGATGGAAAAGGGTGATGGATAGTTGTTGGGAAGGTCCACTTTCCAAACGGAACCCCAATCTTGAGTCATTGTGAGCCACTCGTTAGCAGTATTGGATTGCCTGAGCTCGACCCCTGTGATCCCATCTCCGTCTTCGTACTCTATGGCCACCGCAAAATAGTTTGTGTTAGAGCCTGTGTCGACTTTGAACGCCACGTCCACTCCCGGATAATTGCATTCCACCCTGGTTCAATACATTAATTTAACTTCAGTCATTTGAGGGTGTAATAATCTATGAATAATATATTTCATGAAATTTCGATGAGGTCTTGAAAAAGTGTGGTGTGACAATTAAGTAGAAATTTGATATCAATTTAGAAAGTTACGTTTGATATTGAATTTCCAGGTTTCCGACTTGTCTAAGTTGGTCTTCTTGTCCAGAAATGGCCATCAGTCCAAAAGAAGTGCCGCTCAAATCAAACAAGTGATTGTTGGGGTCACAGCCGGGGCACTCATCGGTGGCGACAACCCTCACCGTATTCCCCGAGCAATGTGCCGACGAACTACATTTTATCTATAGAAAC